GGGAAGAGGAGGAAATAAAAACGTGTAGAATCACTCCATACCTCCTTTTGTAAATGTTGCTTCCCTGCTTTTAGCCCAGGTTCCCTGTGCCGGTCTCTCTGTAGTCCTGCCTTCTGACTTCTGCCCCTCAGGTATGGCTGCAGAGGTAGTCCCGTGCCAATTTCTAAAACACAGTGTTTTCCTTTATACCATGAATTTTCCCCTGGTGGTTTCAGGAAACTGGCACCCAGTCCTTTATGTTAGATCCAGAGCTCTGGTGCAGTTTGGTGAGAGCTGCGTCTCTGGATTTTCAGCCCCTCCCCACGGAGCCTGTTCTACCTGACTCTGCTCTGCCATTGCCAACCGGAAGTCCCCCAAGAATTTTATAATTAAAAAAATTTTTCTTCCCTCCCCCCTCAACTTAATTATATTTCTCTGGCGCCAACTGCCAAACCCACATCAGACCTTCTTTTTCCCTCCTTCACCAATAATTTATTCTAAATTCTTTTATTTAGGTTGTTATCCATTTTAACTTAATTTTTATATATGGTGTGAGGTAGAGGTCCAGCTTCATTCTTTTGTACTTGACTGTCCAGTTGTCCCAACAGTGGTTGTTAAAGAGACTGTTTCCCCATTGAATGAACTTGGTACGTTGTCAAAAATAATTGACTGTAGATATATGGGATTAAGGTTCCCTGATGTTTCAGATTTACCTCCTACTTCACACTGTGCCAAATATCAATTCCAAACAGATTATATACCTAAATCTATATAAAAAAGAAAAGACAGTAAAATCTTCAAAAGATAATAAAAAAGAGATCTCATGACTTTGGAATAGGGAAAGATTCTCACAATATAAAAGGAATTGATTGAAAAAACTAAACATTAAGATCTATCATTCATCAAAAGTTACCATTAATAGTGGGAGAAGAAATTTTCAATGCATGTTACTGTTAAGAGTTTATATTTAAGTTAATAGAAATGGTTTCTGTAAGTTAATAAGAAAAAGACAATCCCTTGTAAAAATTAAGGATAGAAATTAATAAGCACTTCTTAAAGATTCTGACCAAAAACCCAAAAATGGGTGAAAAAGGTACTTTAATTATACAAGAAAAGTGCAAGAGAAAAAGCATAATGAGATCCTATAAGACACTACTACTCTCCCTCCATCCAGAATGGCTCAACACAAAAGAGTTGACATTACCAAGTATTGGTGAGAATGCTCCAAGGTAGTAGGAAAATAAATTGATAGAACCACTTTGGAAAAATAATTGGTGTGGAGCTGTAGGATAAGCACTGGAGTGCTTACCCCAAAGTCAGTGATTCAGACTCTGCTCCTTGGAAAAATAATTGGTGTGAAGCTGTAGGATAAGCACTGGAGTGCTTACCCCAAAGTCAGTGATTCAGACTCGGCTCCTCGGAAACCCAGTATAGAGTCTGCTATGAGTCAGGACCAATTTGACAGCAATTAATAACACAACGAAAACTGCAGATGTACGTAACCATATTTAGCAGTTCTTTTCCTAGGATATGCCCAAAAGAAATGTGTACCAAGAGAAATATAGTGATACAGAAATACGTCTAAAACTAGAAAACACCGAAATGTCTACAGCAGAATAAATACTTTATGTAACAACCATACCACACACGATACAGCTGTACACACAACAAAATTATGCACCAAAGAAGTCAAACACAAAAATATATTCTATATGATTCTGCTTACATAGTCTTGAAACAGGCAAAACTATGCGATAACTACTTAGGCAACCATACCAAGATGATAAAATTATAAGGAAAAGTAAAATCATTGCCATAAAAGACAGAATCCTGCTTAATCGGAAGGGTTATAAGACACTTGGGCTTCTTGAGGAACCAAAGTAATGGTTCATAGATGTTTGCTTTATAATTTATTATGCTTCTTGTTGTTGTTAGGTGCCGTCAAGTTGGTAGTGACTCATAGTGACCCTATTCACAGCAGAACGAAACACTGCCCGATCCTGGGCCAACCTCACTATTGTTCCCACGCTTGAGTCCATTGATGCTGCTACATGTGTGTAACTTACTTTTCTGTTGTAGTTCACCAAAGTTTAAAAAGTGGTACATATAAAATGTATGTTGTTGTTGTTAAGTGCTGTCAAGTCGGTTCCAACCCATAGTGACCCTGTACAGGGTTTCCGAGGGTGTAAATCTTTACGGGAGTAGAAAGCCTCATCTTTCTTCCGCAGAGTGGCCAGTAGTTTCAAACTGCTGATCTTGCGGTTCGCAGCCCGATTCATAACCACTATGCTACCAGAGCTCCTATAAAATGTGTATATATATATATATATTTTTTTTTTTTTTATTGTGAATTATATGAGAGTTTACATGGGAGAACATTAATTTTCATCCTATCGTATATCGTTTCATGGTTACAATCCCCTCCATGCATCATCAACCAAGCAGAGGATATACCCTGCCTGCCTGCCCCCCGGTCGTCAGCACATAGCCCCTCTCACTGTCCGGGTCTAAAGGTCCCAGCTGCTCCATCTCTCCACGTCATCATCTCTGCCTCCGTCTCTGGCCTCACTGCTTCTTCCTTGATGGTCCCAGGGACCTCCGCTCCTAGACTGCAAAGTTAATCACTCCCCTTGCTACAAAACGTCTACGTTTACATTTCCAACCCTCACAATCAATCCTGAAACAATTATTCACTATTGTATTTTAAGATACCTATCCACATTTCCTTTCATCAGCCTCACCTAGACAGATTGGAGATTCTACCTTCTTCCATGCCCTCTGGATCTAGTTTCCCTCTTGAAAGCTTGTAAGCCAGTCACATCTTGCCGTTGTAGCTCCCTCCCCCCCATTTTGGGTAGCAAATGTCCAAGTTGCCCATCCCTGTGTACTCTGTGTATGGAGGGGGTGGCAATGATCCTTGGTGTAAAGATTTGTTCCCTCTTTTGAGCTACTGCATCCATAGGTGTAAAATGTGTATTTTTAAATCAGGTAATCTTGTTTATGGGTGATGGTAGTGGTAAGTACTGTCAGGTACATACACATAAACCAAAAGTATAAAACCACACTTGGGAAAGATGTCACAAATTCAGATTTGTGGATTTCTTGAGACAAGTAGAGGAACAATAAGACTGGGACCTTCATCTGTATCTACGCTATTTCTTTTAAAAAAGGAAAGATCTGAAATGAAGATGCCAAAATATTATCATCTTCAACCTGCATGATGTATGCATGGATGTTTTCTGTACAATTCTGCATGCTATTTTATATTTTAAAAGCAAGCACCATGTTCTTTAAATTGTAAAGGAGCTGGGAGTAAAAATTAGGTATGTGATAAAAACAATACTTTTTTTCCCCAAAGGTACCTGAAGCTCTTCACTTTTCTACCTCTCTCAGAGATTAACCACATAATGCAGCTACACGTCAGAGAGCCAGAAAAGCGGGATCCTCAGAAGCGACTTGCTGCAGAAGTAACAAAACTTGTTCATGGGCAAAAAGGGCTAGAATCTGCTAAAAGGTAAGCTTTTAGAATAATTAATACTTCATGAAGTTATTTAGTTGATAGAGTTGAGAAAATTTGGAGCCATCTGTTTTAGCAGTATCTTGTCATTTCATACTGATAAGGAGTCCTAGTATGACGCTGTGGGTTAATGCACTAGACTGCAAGGTCGATTTAAACCTCAAGGTCGGCGGTTCAGGCTCACCAGCCGCTCCTTGGAAACCCTATCCAGGGTCACTGTGAGTCAGAGCCAACTTGACAGAGCTTAACAACAACAACAAGGATGTTCAGTGTTTGACTTAAAGTTCTTTTAAAACAGTTTTCAGTTATTGCAGAAAAAGATTATCCTTAACTAAAATTAAGTTTATAAATTATAAAAGACCTTATAAAAGGTGTTGCTGTTTCAAAAACTTTTAGTCTGAAAAATAGTGGGAGGTGGTAGTGTTGCTTATGTGCTATGGAGTTGGTTTCAACTCATAGTGACCCTGTATAGGGTTTCTGAGGCTGTAAATCTTTATGGGAACAGAAAGCTTTGTCTTTCTCTAGCAGAACCACTGGTACTTTCAAACTGCTGACCGTGAGATTAGCAGCCTGATTCGTAACCACTGTGCTACCAGAGCTCCTTGAAAAATAGTGGATACTTCACAAAATAACTATTCATTATTTGACTCTCACAAATTTATTTTTCAGGTGTACACAAGCCCTTTATCATAATAGCATAGATGCACTGGAGGTCATGTCTGATGAAGAGTTAAAAGAGTTGTTTAAAGAAGCTTCATTTTCTGAATTGGTTCTTGACCCTGGAACAAGTGTCCTAGAAACTTGCCGCAAAGCAAATGCCATTCCAGATGGACCCCGAGGGTAAGCTGATTTAATGTACGAAAGCACAGCTGATTCAACATTAACCGTTAAATTCACAGCATGTCTTTTCAGAGAGGATGTTTTCCTGTTACTGCTTTAATGGCTTCTCATTCCTTGCAGAAGTTAGATTAGTCAGAGAATAAAGTGAAAACTCTGAATATTTAGTTATTGAAAATACCTTAAAACAACTATATTGTTTCTCATTAAGTCAAGCCCAGTTTTCTTCTAGCATTGAAGAGGTTTTCTTTAAGGTACTGGGATCAGTCTGCTCACAGAGATGGTCAGTTTGAGAAGATTACAGATACAGAGGCCATGAGTGAACAGATTCACACCACCTCTCTCTTCATCTTCTGTCTTTGGAAGAGACAGGAGTAATTGCACTACCTATTTAAACTATCAGGTGGTTTTCTAAAGTGGAATGATCATATTACCTAACTTCATAAGACTATTGCTATAAACGATATATTATTCACCTTAAATACTGTAAGTTTTTCTTATTCACAGAGTGTAGGTAGAACACTTTAATCCTCAATTATGTGGTATTTTTAGGAAATTAGGTGTTCCACAAAAAAAAAAGCAAAATTTGATGCATTGGTTAGCCAGAAGACCTATGTGCCTCATCTACAGAAGTTTGATTATTAATTCAGTAGTTATCCACTCTATATTAAGGAGTCCTAGATTGCTTTATATTTATATTGTATCTCCTTCCAGTCCACCTTAATGATTCCCATATATGCAAAATATTGAAAAGATGGCAAATAAGAATACAGCAAAATAAATGTCAGAAAACACTCTAAAACTTGCTCCTGAACATAGAGTAATTAAAGCAAACAGAGAAATGATGACATGAAATAGCTAAGCAGAAGATTTAAAGGGTGACTTGAGAAGATAAAGTAAAACATTGTAATGAAATGTGAAAAGACCTGGAATAAAATTTAAAAAGAACATGCTCAGCATTTCTCAAGCTAAAAGAAATGAAAAGATTCAAGCTTTAGGTTGCAATATAGGATTCTGTAGGCAAGATATTGAATGACAAATGAAGAATCAAAAGAAGATAGAGACATACATAATAGAGTCACTGTACCAAAAACTGTTGGTCAGTGTTCAACCATTTCAAGAGGTAGCATATGATCAAACCAGTGGTATTGAAGGACAAAGTCTAAGCTGCACTGAAGACATTGGCAAAAACAAGGTTCCAGAAATTGATGGAATTCAAACTGAAATGTTTTCAACAAACTGATGCAGCACTGGAGGCACTTACTCATCTATGCCAAGGAATTTAGAAGACAATTGATTGGAAAAGAGCCACATATGTGCCCATTCCAAAAAAAAAAAAGTTGGCTCAAAAGAATGCAGAAGTAATCGAACACTATCATTAATATCACACACAAGTAAAATTTTGCTAAAGAATCAAAAATGATTGCACTGAATCAGGGAACTTCCAGAAATTCAAACTGAATTCAAAAGAGAATGTGGAAAAGGGATATCATTGCTGATGTTCGGTCTTGGCTAGAAGCAGAGAGTACCAGAAAGATGTTTGCTTGTGCTTTAGTGACTATGCAAAGGCATTCAACAGTATGTATCATAATAAACTATGTGAAGAATAGGAATTCCAGACCAGTTAATTGTGCTCATGTGGAACCTGTACATAGACTAAGAGGCAATCATTAGAACAGAACAAGGGGATACTACATGGCTTAAAATCAAGACAGGTGTGCATCAGGGCTGTGTAATTTCACCATACGTATTCAGGCTATCAGTCTATATGCTAATTGTCATGGATTGAATTCCCCAAAATATGTGTCAACTTGGCTAGGCCATGATTCTCAGAGGTTTGGCAGTTTTGTAATGATGTGATGTGGCAGATATGTAGTGATACAAATACCTCCATGGTATGATCTGATGTTAATACTACTCTGATGTAATTATCCTATGTGTTGTGAATCCTCCCTTCTGTGAGTCTGAATACAATCTATAGGATTAGGTTGTATCTTGAGTCCATTTCTTTTGAGATTTAAAAGAGATTAAACTACCACCAAGAAAAAAGATTCTGGGGTGGAGTGTGTTCTTTGGACCTTGGATAAAGTTCCTAGATCCTCGGAAATATTGACGCCAAGACACTTGGGATTCTGGGAGGGATGCTGGACCTACAGATGCTGAAAGGAGACAAGGACCTTTCTCCAGAGCTGGTGTTCGAAACTATGAGAGAATAAATTTATGGTTGTTGGAGTCATCCACTTGTGTATTTCTGTTATATCAGCATTAGACATCTTAAGACACTGATCAAATAGTTTGAAAAGCTGGACTATATGAAGACTGTGGCATTAAGATTAGAGGAAGAAGACTCATTAGCACCCTGCAGTATACAAATGATAAAATCTTGCTTGCTGAAAGTGAAGAGAACTTGAAGAATTTACTGATTACAACTCAGCATAAAGAAAACTAAAGTCCTCACAACTGGACCAATAACATCATGATGAATAAAAGAAACAGTTACATATTTTAATGATTTCCTTATACTTGGAGCCACAATTAACGCCCGTTAAAGCAGCAGTTAAGAAATCAGACAGCATCCAATTACTACTACTAACTATTCTGAAAGGGATCACAAAATTAGGTCCTAGTTTTAATGGAAAAAAATGTGGAACAAAACTCAAAATTGTTTTTAAAAAATACAGTAGTCTTACTGGTCAGAAAGATTCTGGAGGAACCTGAGACTAAGGCCCTCAATCACCATTCAGGTCTAGAAAAGAACTCAACTCGTGGCCCAGTTTTCAGCCAAGCAGTAGATTGTTATATAATGGGGAAAACACCACTAGTAAGGCATGTTCACCATGGAATGGTCAACAATTCAAGATGAAAAGGACAACTTCTACGTAAGGACAAAGTTGAGAAAGGATGGGAAGGAGGGTGGAATGGAAATAAGAACCGCAGGGAGGAAGTGGGATAACGGTTGTTACATGGATTGGATTGCAATCACTGAGATGAACCAAGCTGTATGATTTGTTGGATGTAAAACTGAGGATGTTTTCTGTAAAACTTCACTCAATTCTCAATAAAAAGTTTAAAAAAAAAAACAGCACAGATTCACTATACCAAAATGAAATGGTAAATGTTCAACCATTTCAAAAGGTAGCATATGATCAAGAGCCAATAATACTTAAGAAAAGTCCAATCTCTGAAGAAGGCTTTAGTGAAAAACAAGGCTTCAGGAATTGGCACAATACAAATTTAAATCTTTCAACAAACTGATGGAATAGTGACCTATGCCAAGAAATTTGGAAGATAGCTATCTAGCTAACTGATTGGAAGAGATTTGTGCCCATTCCAAACAGAGTTAACAAAATGCAGAAATCATTGAACGATATCATTAATAATCCATGCAAGTAGAATTTTGCTGAAGATAAGTCAAAAACAGTTGCAACAGTGCATTGACAGATTTAAAATCAGGAAAGTTGTATGCCAGGATTGTATCCTTATTCATTCTGTATGTTGAGCAAATAATCTAAAACTGGATTATAGGAAGAAGAACATGGCATCAGAATTGGAGGGAGACTCACTAGCAACCTGTGATATGCAGATGATACAACCTTGCTTCTTAGAAGTGAAGAGGACTTAAAATACTACTGTTGAGGTTCAATAGGTGTATAGTGGGGGGGACAACACTAGTGAGGTACATACACCATACAAAGGTCAGTCATTTGCAATCAAAAGGACAACATTTATCTCGGGACAAAATTCAGAATAGTGGGAAAGGAAACAAGAAATTTAGCAAGGAAGTAGGAAAATAGTTTTTTATTGAGGGGATTGCATTTGAAATGAAACAAAGAGTATGATTTGTTGAATGTAAAACTGATAACCTGCTCTACAAACCTCCACTGAAATAACAATGAAACTTTTTTTTTTTTTTTTAACACCACATTTCCATCAAGTCAGTTCAGAATCATAGTGACTGTATAGGACAAACTAGAACCTGCCCATAGGATTTCCAAAACTAAATCTTTACTGAAAGGAAATAAAACAACACACTGCATTGAGTGAATATGCTGCAAAAGACCTCTTTACAGTGTTTAAGAAGCAGAGGTAACTCTTTTGAGGACTAAGGTGCTTCTGACCCAAGCCATGGTATTTTTCAGTTGTTCAGTTGTTTCAGATGTTTGTAAAAATTAGACAATGAATAAAGGAAATGGAAGAATTAATGCAATAGAAATATGATATTAACATAGAATATTGAGTATGCCATGGACTGCAAAAACCATGGTCAAATCTATCTTGGAAGAAGTATAGCTGGATTGCTCCTTAGAAGCAAGATGGTAAGACTCCATTCATTTTATGCACTTTGGTCATGTTATCAGGAGAGCCCAGTCCCTGGAGAAGAACTCAGACGTGGAAACAGTTGTAGAAATAGTTCAGGACTGGGAGGTTTGATTTCTGTCGCTCATGGGTTTGCTATGAGTTGTAACTGACTAAGCACCTAACAACACAAAATATATTAGTTCATTTAATGTAATCATACACTGAATAAGACAGACTGGGAAGAAGGAGAAGACTTAGCCATTGGCAACCCTAAGAATAGCAGCAGAAAATTGTCAGAGGTTGCGCCAGAAGCTGAGTCCCTCAGGTATTAAGGCACTCAAAATGCAACTGTGGGAGAATGGCTGTTTCCTCAATGTAGATGACCTTCATGATGTGAATGGAGCAAAGCTTTCAGGACATTCATTTCCCAATAGGGCACAACTCAACATAAGAAACAGTTGCAAACATGCATAAATAATCAGAATGTGGAATGTATGAAGTATGAGCCTAGAAAAATTAGAAGTCTTTGAAGATTAATTGGAATGCATAAAGATCCATGTCCTAAGCATTACTGAGCTGAAATGAACTGGTATTGACCATTTTCAATCAGGCCATCTGTGCCAGGAATGACAAATAGAAGAGGAATGGCAGTGCATCCACCACCAAAAAGAACATTCAAGATCTAACTTGAAGTACAGTGCTGC